ACGAAGGTGGTTTTGGTAGTGATTCTAGACCCAGAGGTTGACTTCTTCCATCTTCTTTCAAATGCTAAAATAAACTAAAATTTGAAAAGAAATTAACAGAGCATTTTAGGACCTTTATTTCAAGTGTCAAGGAAAAATGGTGGTGTAGTGTGTTTGGCCAGTGAGCAAACAGTGCATGGATCCTTGTTATGATTAAAGAAAGACTCCTTATCTAAAAAAGAAAATAGAGTAAATGTTCTAAGACATGGGTGACTGAGTCTCCAATGCCATAGAACCATCTCAGTAGATATTGTGGAGGAATTTGATAGAGGGAGGGTGACAACATGCATAACGAAGATGGTTTTGGTAGTGATCCTAGACCTAGAGGTTGACTTCTTCCATATTCTTCTTTCAAGTGCTAAAATAAACTAAAATTTGAAAAGAAATTAACAGAGCATTTTAGGACCTTTGTTTCAAGTGCTAAGGGAAAATGGTGGTGTGGTGTATTTGGCCAGTGAGCAAACAGTGCATGGATCCTTGTTATGATTAAAGAAAGACTCCTTATCTAAAAAAGAAAACAAAGTAAATGTTCTAAGACATGGGTGACGGAGTCTCCAATGCCATAAAATCATCTCGGTAGATGTTGTGGAGGAATTTGATAGAGGGAGGGTGACAACATGCATAACGAAGGTGGTTTTGGCAGTGATCCTAGACCTAGAGGTTGACTTCTTCCATCTTCTTCTTTCAAGTGCTAAAACAAACTAAAATTCGAAAAGAAATTAACAGAGCATTTTAGGACCTTTGTAAGCTGACTAACAGATAGCAAATTGAAGTCGAAGGATAGTGCATGAAGGATACAATATAATACAAAATCAGAGCCAATTTTAATAGATCCTAGGTATCTGATTTCAGTAGTTTGGCCATCTGATAATTTAAGTAGTTTCGCCAGAGTATGTTTGACATCCTAAAGTGAGATGAATTTGTTGCATATATGTTTTGACAATGTATGGTCAATGATCCAAGAATCAATTAAAGAAGCAAGATAGGAGATATCACCTACAAAGTTTGTAATAGGATCGGCATGCCACTGGATTAGTTAGGTATTAAGGCTAAAAATTGCTGGACCTGTTCAAGAGTGAAGGATGATCCTGTAGAAAGAACAGACATGTCTTGATTAATTGCTGCAGCAACTTGTCCTGATGACGAGACAGTTCTGTGGTGTTACAAGTTATAAAAGTATGAACATTTTGGAGAAAATAAACTTTTAATTTTATTACTTATATATTTTGTGTTTACACTTATGAGATATATATAGTAATTATCTTTATTTTAAAAGAATTCTAATTACATGATATATCTTTACTTTTATAACTCTAACTATAGTCTACTACTCTACTTAACATAGAATCCTTATCAACACTTCCCCTCAAGTTGGTGCAAAAATATCACACATACCCAACTTGCAAACCAAGTTCTGGAGGGATTTATTGAATAATCCTTTAGTAAAACTATCAGCCACCTGATTACTAGAAAATACATGATATAAGTATAGAGAGCCACCAACTACCTTCTCTTTTATGAAGTGTCCATCAATTTCAATGTCTTTTGTCTTATTATATTGAAATGGACTATGAGCAATGTTAATGGCTGTTTTATTATTACAAAACAGAGATAGTCTCTCTTCTTTAAGCAATTTTAATTCCATCATTAACTTTTGCAACTATAATAATTCACAAACTCCTTCGGTCATTGCATTATACTCTGCCTCTGAACTAGAGTTGGCAACTATACTTTACTTCTTACTTTTTCATGTGACTAAGTTGTCTTCTACAAATGTACAGTAACCTGTAATTGATCTTCTATCATTTAGAAATCCAATCCAATCGGCATTTATAAATGATTCTATTTTAAGGTGACTATGCTTAGAAAAGAGCAGACTTATTCCTAGTGCAGACTTCAGGTATCGTAATATGCGGAAGACAGCATGTAAATGAGTTTCACGAGAATCATACATGTACTGCCTCACTAGACTAACCGCATATGCTATATCAGTTATGGTATGTGAGAGATAAATGAGTCGTCCAACTAGTCTCTGGTATTTTCCCAAGTCAACTGATGTACCACTACTTACTTATAGTTTGTAGTTGTTTTCAATAAGTGATTTTGTCAGTTTGTAACCCATCATACCAGTCTTTTCTACTAAGTTTAAGATATACTTTTTTTGAGAAATGAAAATTCTTTTATTGGACCTGACAACTTCAATTTCCAAGAAGTATTGCAATTTTTCTAAATCCTTTATTTCAAACTCTTGAGTAAGTAGTTCCTTCAACCGAGTCATCTCTTATATATCATTTCCAGTTACCACAATATCATTTATATAAACAATAAGAAAAATGATCTTATCCTCACGATGTTTGATAAACAGGGTATGATCAGCATTACTTTGTTGATATCCAAAAGATATCATAACTCTTCTAAACCGTTCAAACCATACTTTTGGAGATTGTTTTAATCTGTATAAGGCCCTTTTTAATTTGCAAACTTTTCTTTACGTCATCTCATCTTCAAATTCAAATGAAATTTCCATGTATACCTCTTCTTCTAAGTCTCAATGAAGGAATACATTTTTACATCAAACTGTTGTAAATCCCAACCAAGGTTAGCTGCACAAGACAAAAGTATTCTAATTGTGTTCATCTTCGCAACAGGTACAAAGATCTCTTGATAGTCAATTCTATAGGTTTGAGTAAATATTTTAGTCGCCAATCTAGTTTTGTATTTTTCAAAAGATCTGTATGCTTTGTGTTTTATGGTGAACACCTATTTACAACCAACTACATTTTTTTCCTGTGGAGATAAAACAAGTTCCCATGTTTCATTTTTTTATCAATATTCTCATTTCTTCAATCATGGCTTCCTTCTACTTGGGATCTCCTAAAGTTTTTCTCTAATTTTGTAGAATAGACATAGAGAAAACAGACAAAACAAAATCTCTATAGGAGGGAGATAGAGAGTCATAGGAAACAAAGTTATATGTAAGATGTTTAGTACAAGTTCTTGTTCCCTTTCTAATAGCAATAGGTTTATTTGATAAATCACAAGGTAAAGATAACTCACCAGTATCTTTTGGAACCAGAGAAGATTTTTGGCCTGAAACAGATTGCATGATGGTTTTTTCTGACTTATCTCTCCTTGAATACCTTTTCAAGTCTGACTTATCCAGACGTCCAACATTATCTTCTTGATTAAGACCTTCTGCAATAGAACTCTCTCTCTTAATATGATTCTCAATAGTTACCCAATTAGGTATTACTTTTTTCTTCTCACTCTCCCCCTGAAAAAGTGTTGGGTTTGAGTTGAAGTAAAACTCGATTTTCCTAAAGGTAACATCCATAATTAAAATATTTTCTAAAAGGTGCATGATAACATTTGTAACATTTTTAGGTAAAAGAATATCCAACAAATACACATTTGAGAGCTCTGAGTTCTAACTTACCAACATTTCTAGCATAAACAAAGCACATACATCCAAACACTTTTGGGGAAACAATGTAAGAACTTTTTCTTTACAAAATCTCCATAGGGCTTTTAAAATCCATGACTCACAAAGGCATTCTATTGATAAGATAGACAGCTGAGAAAACTGCATCTCTCCAGTAACTTTTCAGTAGATTCATTGTGAACATTAATGACCGATGTACCTTCAATATGTGTCTGTTTTTCTTTTCAGCAATCTCATTTTGTTCACTAGTATAGTCACAACTTATCTGATGAATTATCTCATTTGACTCCAAATAGGCACGAAATCCATTATCCATATATTGTGTACCATTGTCAGTTCTTATAATCTTAACTTCAGCACCAAACTGTGTACATATTATTTTATGAAATGATTGAAAACATGAAAATACATCACCTTTTGCTTTTAACAGATAAATCCATGTTAATCTAGTACAACAGTTAATAAAAGTAACAAATCATATATGATCAGAAAGAGAGGTATTCTAAGTAAGTCTCACACATCAGAGTGAATAATTCTAAAAGGATCAGTATTTCTATTATTACTTAAATGATAAGAGTTTCTCTTATATTTATTAAGTTCACATGCATCACAAAACAAAAATTCCATAGAAATTCTTTTAAATAAACTAAAATATAATTTTTTTAAAACAAAAAATAAAGGATATCCCAATCGTCAGTGCCATTGTAGTATTTCTATATTGACTTCTTTAGTTCCAATGGTGGCTTAATTCCCAATTAATTTTTGGTGTCTATTTAAGATATATAAGTCATCTTACAGTCTACCAGTGTCAATCCTCTTCCCAGTTTGAAGATCATGAAAGATGTAATGATCAGGAAAAAATTCAATTTTACAGTTAGAATATCTAGTTATGACACTAATAGATAAAAGATTGTCAAAAAAACTATGCACATGTAAAACTAAAGACAATGCAATAGCAAGAGTACAATTAATGGAACTTGTTTCAGACATGGAGTTGTATGACCCATCTGCTATACAGACATTTTTTCCTTCAATACAAGAAAAATAAGTTAAGAATTCTTTAGAAGAGCTTGTCATGTGTCTGTTAGCTTCAGAATTTATAATCCAACTATCAGGAGTGGAAATAGGATAAAGATAAGTAATATATGGTTTTACTATATTTTATATGCCAATAGTTGGAGAGTTAAGTTGACTCAGAAGGCGCTTCAGATTTTAAATTTCTTATATGAAAAAGGCTTCAACGGATGGTGAACCAGGTGTTTCCCTAGTTTCAACAAAATTTACTTGAGCTCTTGTGGTTTCACCTCTTCTTCCTCCCCGACCTCTAATTGGTCTTCCATGCAACTCCCAACAAGTTTCTCTAACGTGTCTTGGCTTGGCACAATAGTCACACTTCCATATATCTCTAAATTGATCAGACTAAGCAACTAATCCAACATTCTCAACTAATGCAATGTGAAACATGACAATTCTTCTACCCTCTTTTTACTGGACATAAGCATAAGTTTGTTATAATGAAGGAAATGGATCCTTACCAAGTACTTGGACCCGTATTTGATCATATTCGGCGTTCAGACCAATTAAAAAATTATCGATTCACTCTTTTTCTATCAATTTATGAGATTTGACTGTATGTATAAGACACTCAACTTGAAAATCTTGATAATAATCTAACTTTTATCATAATCCATTCAGTTTCGAAAAATACTGAGAAATAGTCATCTCTCATTACTTTGTGCTATGAACTTTATTCCGAAATTCATAAATCTGAACGTCATTACCCATTTGTAATTATGTAAGAGATGCTGCATTCTATATTTTTTCAGCAATGTTAAGCAACAGATATGTTCTAATAATATAGAATTGCATGAAATTTATGAGTCATAATATTACTAATGAGCTATCAAAGTCCCATCTATTATATTCTAAACTACCAATAGTTAATTTCTTCACCTCACCAGTAATATAACCCTACAATCCTTTAGATTTGATAAACAATAAATAAGATCTTAATCAAATAAGATAATTAGTTTCATCAAATTTTACGGGACTGATTTGTAATATATCAAATTTAGTAACACTCACATTTTTTACTTCTGTAATCTTAGAATGCTAAAAATAAGAAGAAAAATACCCAGTAATCAAAAATGGACCTCCTAATCTGCACTAAGGAACAAAATAAGGACCAAAAAACTGAAAAATGATAAAAAAAACCGGAACCAGATCTGGTTCGGCTCGGCTTGGCCACACCAGACATCCCGTGCACGAAAAAGCGGACTGGCGCGATGGAGGGGCTCTGTTTGATCAATGCAGCGTGACTCAGCACACAACTGGAGCAGTGTGGTGTGAAGAGCATCAGTCGACCCGTCTTCAGATGCGGATCCGCTAGATCGGAGCGGCAAAGGGCGCAAAACGGTAGATCTTCCGAATACGCGCAGCCGCATGAAAAAACGTTGGATAATCACGATCAAGCCCGGATTTTGTACAGAAAGGAACCAGATTTGTCTCAATCGAGCTTTTCTGGCGGTATTCCACCGTTTTCAGCCGAATGGGATGCAGCCGGCGGCGCATGTGCTGACACGCGCGGAAACTGTGGCTGTTCTGGGCCA